TTTAAACTTCATGAAAACAGTGAAAGTAACTTCCAGGTATATTTCATTTACACTATATTTTGTTGTAAATATCTTGTAGTCAAAATTACATTTCACAAATGTTTATCATTTGTATAAATTTTTTATATATTAATAGTTTAAAAATATTTTAAATTCCTGTCAAGATCATTTTTAGCAGTTTTTCTTAAAAGAAATGTCCCATGTAAGGCACATCCTTTGGATTTGGACATACTTGTCTGACTTGATGAAAAACAACTGACTTCAAAAATAATATCTGGACAAGATGGCTTGATAATGTCTTTTAATTAATCTGATTAATCTGTGAGTTATATAAAACATCCATTAAACCTCTCCTGTGTAAAATCAGCTGTTTTGTTTACATTCTCTCTGCAGGTTAACACTGCATTCTATTTTTAGCTCATGGTTTATAACAGACAGTTTTACATCACTGATTAGTCACACCCACAAATACTCGCTGCCGCGGCAGCGAATGTTGCCCCTTTAAGGAAGTAGTCATGATATGCAAGAATAAAGTGTGGCTGCCGTTTTTGTATTTTCTGATCGAAGATCGGAGAACTTCTCCGTGGTGCAGGGGTAATGCGCTCGTTTAGTGTGTGAGAGGTCTGGAGTTCAAATCACAGTTGAGCATCTTTTTGTTTAATTCTTTTTTAAAGTGTGGCTGTCATAAAAAAATGAACATATATGATTTTTTGATGCAACTCTAGTTATGCAAAATTCCGTATGTATCAAACTCTGGTGCCTTGCAAGATGAATTATAGTACATAAAAATAAACTTACACAGGAAAATACATATATATATACAGTACGATTTAGATTGAAAAGATCAGAAAATATCTCAGAGCTTGCAGCCCTTTGATTCATTCAATGATTGGATTAATGGTGGTGATCTATTGGCGCGCTCGCTGTTCTTATCCCTCCCCCGTACTGAATGCATTTAAGAATGCACATGCTTCCGGTTCGTCCCGGAATCACATATATCATGATTTAGCCAACGAATTGCATACAAAATATAAACCAACGTTTGTAAAAAGTGTTCCTTTCATCTCATTTACGCGTAAAAATGTAAATCTATCTTCATTTTGGGTATTTGTGGTATGATATGGCTCGGTTTGTTGTTCGCCCTGATTATATTTCTTCGCACCGTGCTATTACAAACCACAAGACACTGAAACTCGATATGTATGCACTAACATGAATATCACACGACATTGGTACTGGTATACTGTTCTGTTCTGTTCGATTAGTATCCTGCAAACGGATTCTACCCAATTAGAAGTCATGCGAATCGTGGTCAAATGAACAGAAAAGCCAACATACTTATTCAGTCATAATTGTACTTTTAATTTTTATTTCTTACCAGGAAACTGATCTACAACACAAACGATTTCATGTACAAATATACAAAAACAACAATAACAACAACAAAAAAAGAAACAAAAAGTTATTTCCAAATGATGAGAAATTTATAGAAAAGTAAAAATATATAAAATTGACATTAACAAAAATTTGGCAAGATGATAAGTATAAGTTTATTTTCATATCGTTTAGAATGAATTGCATACCAACATTGAAACAATATTTTGAAACACGTGGTATTTGTTTTCATTTAAAACATTAAGCATAACTATTGCACTTTTATATACAACTACGTTTTTTCTCTTAGCTGCATTTATCTTGTATCAGTTTGACCAACGACTGAATTGATGATCTTAATTTAGATTTTCTTCTTTCTTTACATCTCCTCGGCAAATGTACAGTTTCTTTCTGACAGACAATTTTTTCTCCGAACAGGGCTGGAATGCAGTTCAAAACTTCACTAAATACACCACAAGCTTGTTCAGTATTTTTGGCTGACGTGTCGTGATATTTGCATCCCCAGTCTATGCAGACGACAGAATCGGCCACTTCCGCCGGAACTTCCCGGTTTGAAACATCTGCTTTATTCCCGACCACTATAATTGGTGTATCCTGCCCCCTCATTTCGATGACTTGATTCTTATCGCCGATACTCTATCAATATGTTGCAAATGTCGTCTACTGAAAGAAAACGACAACAAAAACATTTCTCCCGCCATTATTGCTATTTTCGTCATTTCCAGGAAAATTATGAGAACCGGAAGTGTCGATAATCTCGAGAGACTGAATTTGTCTCCATTGTAATGGAAAACATCTTCAATAGTTTTTGGTATATTGTTCAGAGAATTGGAATGATAAAGACATTGCTTGATAAGTGAAGTTTTGCCGACGGCAGCTGCCCCCTATCACAACAATTTCTCCACGTGCTGGTGCACGTGCGAGTAAGCGTTGTCATGTGGATGAAAGCTATCATGGTAGCCGAATCTAAATTAAATGAAAATGAAAAAAATAAGTATAACTTTTATATCATTACTAAACATAATTTTAAACAAAAATAAATAAAGAAAAAATAAAGAAAGAATAAAGATTTGATGTTGAATTTATAGCGGTCATAAAAAATGAATTTTAACAATTATAAGTAAACGTTTAAAGCATTTTTATAAGTCCTGTAATGTTTAAATAAATTTAAAAGAAATATTTACTTACAAACGCATGTCTGCTTTTCAAAAAATAATCAAAGAATCGTCTGTATGGGTTTTTTTTTCTGCAAGTGTTCTCTCCGAACGCAACAAGTGTAATGGAGTATTTCTTATAACTGCATGGTATTTATACAAACAAGGTCGTCGATTTCTTCTTCGCCAGTGTCAATGTAATTGAAAAAAGGTGTTTATCTGGTAACTTGTATTTAGTTCGTTCACCTGCTTTGCGGTCAAACCATACTAGTAATTATTTACTTTTACTTCACCCTTTGATTCATCGATCTTGTATTCTTAAATTCTTGGGTGATATATTAAAAAGATACGTTATAAATGAAAATTAAAATAAATTATTTCATCTTCAGTCTTTTTGTTTTGTATTTCAATCGTAATACATTTTGTACTCTGAATACTTTGTAATTTTTGTCGTTTTGTCGTTTTAATGCCTTTAATGAAAAAAGAGGTAGTTTTTGTTAGAAACGGACCGAATCAAAATTATCGTTATTTTGATTTATAGCATATATTTATATGTTATACAAATGTAGATACAAGACTTTTATACATTAAGGCAACCTTTTCTGTGTTTTATTTTTCTTTTCGTATTTTTTTTTCACTTTTACTATTCTCTAGAAAAAAATATCGTTTTTGTACTCTCGATATCCCCTTTAGTAATAAATAAATCTTCTTCTTCTTCTCCTTCTTCTTTCTTTTCTTTCTTCTTCTTCTTCTTCTTCCCACAAACACGCGGCAGACAAGTCAAGTATTATAAAACATTGCTCATTCACGCATAATTAAAAATAAAATGATTAAAACACGTGGCTATAAAAACATTTTTTCCAAAACGGTAGATAAACGACAATGCAATGACCCCTGTTAAAATCTTAAATATAAACTACGGTGTGAATAATGGTTTAAATTATCTAAACCATCTTGAGTAAGCTTTGAATATAAACGGGTGCAATAGCCTTTTTAATCGTATTGAATCACAGTCTGAAAAAAATTGGGGAATTGGGGTTTGGGCGACCTTTTATAAAATTTAAACCCCCGGGTTTTACCCCTTTAAAAAGCAATCGGGGGGGTAAATTTTGGGTTCCCCTCCGCTCGAAATCCGGGGGGGGCTTCGGGTACTGTTTGTTTGGTTTCCCTTTTTAAAAGACTACAAAAATTTTAAAAAACCCATTAAAAAAAGAGGGCTGGGCAGGGAAAAATTTACCGCTTTACGAAAAACCAAAAATAATCGTTTGGGGAAACCCCCCAAGGGAGCAGACCAGCCAGCGCATCCGCGCAGTCTAAATCAGGATCCATGCTGTTCGTTTCCCAAAAACCATTTAAAGGGGAGAAACCCAAAAGGGATCCTGATCAGAAAAACCGGGGAAAGCGCAGGCGGGTTTGGACCCATGCTGGCGAAAAATACTAGTTGGTTTTGTCGTGACGCGGCTCATTTATTTTACTTTATGGTAAAAGCGTCAGCTTGAATTAATTAAATCAAAGCATACATGAATTATATTTTTGCTAATTGATATCTTTGCAAATCGAAAGAACAATTGACATAGGTGATGGCGATAAATTGCAAATTGCATGTCAAGAGGTTATTCCTAAATTTGATGCTGGTCCTTTTTTCAATCAAAGTAACCTAAATACATGTTTCATTTTTCAAACGAATGTGTCTTATAAGTACTTCCTGTAAGTCATGAATCAAAGATTGCAGCCTCTGCCTAAATTTACATCAAAAGTCACTTGGTAGAATTTCTTACAATCCCTATTGTTTCCAAAATAATTATTGGTAATTGGCGAGGTGTTCCGAATGACCCTGTTTATCTATGACACAATACCAATATTTCATTTTGTGGTGAAAAACCTAACGTTTTAAATCTATCGAATTTTTCATGACAATTTATCAGACTGAATAGTGAATAAATAATCTTCGTTTTTTTCTCAGTGCTTGAAATTATATATTGTTTAAAGAAATTTTCTTTATTTCTTTTTTCTTTTTTATATTTAATTTATGTGTATATTCTCATAATTCTTTATAATTATGTTTTTATTGTTTCCATCATTTCTGAACAACATTGAAAACAATTAATGTAAGATTCTTGATATCAATTATTTATCTATAGTAAAGGTACATTATGCTTCAGGAATACATATATATTTTTTAATTTGTTAAAAATGTCAAACATGTGTTTATTAATAATGTTTAAATAATGGTTAGATGTTTTACAACTGAAGATAGTGGCGCTGAATATGCTGTGATAGGAAAATGTAAACAAAGTAGTATTTTGACTTCATACAAAATAATAATAAATTATAATTATATCAATTGTCAACAGAACTAAAGATGCAAAAGATATATCAAATGCGTATATTTTTGGAAACTGCAACAAGATACCAAAAATAAACAGTTTTTGAGATTTAAAAAATATACAATTTCAGAGGCATAATGGGCCTTTAAATGTGCTTTATACATTGCATAAAAGTGATTCACATGTTTGACATTGGATTCCATTATACATGACCCAGCTGTTATGAAACCACGGATGCATGCACGCGCCAGATGGAACAGTTTTCGGACATGGTAATTGTGGACAGCCTTTCGAATCTACCGGTGACCCTGTAAAAAAATCAAACTATGAAAATAGGTAAATAACCGTCACTACACAGACCCTTAATAGACAAAAATGACTTCCTCCAAAGATGAAAAAAGCTCATTGGTTGTACAAACTGTTTAAATGGTAATTATGCCTCACGACACTAAACTTTACTTGGGTAATGAAAGAATTATATAAGCACGTAATTAACCAAATAATAACAAGATAACGTCATACATTCATACGGTAAAATTTACAAGTTGAAAGTTCGCAAAAATACAGCTCGATTTCTCTTTAATTACCCATCTCATTAATTTAATCAGGATATAAACTCCAACAGTGAGATGATTTGTTACCTGGTTTTATACAGACGTTGCACGCGCGGCATATAGTCCTTGACGAGATGTCCGCATAGAATGACTGATACGGGCATGCAGTGGTTCTCGGGTCACACTGCAAAGATGGACAATTTCGTTCATCTGCGACAACCATTCCTAAATAAAGAAAAGAAACATAATTTTCATCTTGATTAGCCAGAAAAAAACAAGGCTAATGAAAAAAAGGTATTACAGCTTTTTGCTTAGTCATCATTGTGCGTTAGAAAAAAAATTCAGAACTTTAACCCTAGCATAAACAAAGAAGAAAAGAAAAAAAGAAAGAAAGAAAGAAAAGAAGAAAGAAAGAAAGAAAGAAAGAAAGAAAGAAAGAAAGGAAGAAAGAAGGAAAGAAAGAAAGAAAGAACTCTAATCGTAGCATGATGCAATGAGTTTTAAAAAAAAACCCAGATCATATGTAGTTTCGATGTTAATGAAAAGCAAAATAACTTACCATGTTGATTAGTAAGCATCAATATGAAAGACAATATGTAAAACATCATTCTCGAAATTCGATGTAGAATATTTCACTTCTTCCCTGCTTGTGTTTAAAATAAAGGTAATTAAAGACCCAACTAAAAGTTTTGACGGTAATGATGAAATAACGCGGAATCCACAAAGCAAATAAAAGGCGTAGATAACAATTCGCTGAACAAACACCAATAAGAAATGTAAAACAAACTAATTGTAATTATGTATAATGTATTCCTCAAAATGTATTTAGTGTTTGAAATTATTTTTTATCCAATAATTGCAGTATTTCACATTTATTAATTGATAAGTTGTCTTAATCGACTATTTCAAAATATAATATCAAACACTAGGCTCCTCTTGGTCAATCTAATTTTGTAAATGCTAACTAATGAACACTAACCTAAACTTCAAGCATTTTATTACCAAAAGCCCGAGTGTTAATTATTTGGTAACATGTTTTTTGGACCTACATCAGCTTCGGGGCATAACTGATGCTTTAAGCTGAACATCATTAGTCCACGTATGACCGATCTGTTAATGCTGTCATTGTAACAGTTCCTGTCAACAGCTGTTGTCATACCGACAATAAGTCATTTAAGGTATATCCTGGTCGGGTAAGGTCGAGTCCTGGCCATGAGTTCACTAAGATTGAACGTGTATAAAGGTATATATCTGCTCCAAAAATAATGGTTGCATTTGATATATATATAGGTATATAAATAAAAGAAAACATGTGTTAAATAACTAAAAAATATAAGGGTGTATTAGCACGAAGAAAACGCAACGGCATCTGTGATGTAATGTTAAGCATTCCAGAGACCCGTGGTTTGAGTCCCGGTTGCGGCATGCCGTTTTCTTCTTCTTTTTTTTCGTGTGATTCTTCTGTATTTGCAGTTTATTGCCAAAAAAGCAGAGTAATACGGTGCTACATAGCTGTTCCTATAAATGTAATGCTAGATCTTCCAAATTTTACAGGAAAAAAGAAAACAAATAGAAATAGTACACTTTTATGCCCGGACAGTTAAATTATATTCATAGCAATATAAATTGGCAGACATAAAATATCAATATTCAGCCTGACATTTGCTTTATTTACATGCATGATGTTTTTTTAATCAAAATATTTTAATACAATTTTGGTAAATAATGTCATATTTCACTGTCAAAAAATTAAAACTATTCTAAACATTCATATAACGTTAATGGACAAGTATTTAAATACTTCTTATTGAATAAAGCGCATTAATTAGCAAGGAAAAGCGTTTGCTCAAACTTTAAACATGCTGTTCTATTTACTTAGTGCTTTTGTGATTTTTGGACTTGCGCAAGGTATGTTTTACGTGTCTTTAACTTTATCTACAATTTTTACTATTACTTACTATAAATAAAAATCGATAATTTCGATATCTCTTCGACAAACTTTTTTAAATTCGACATTAAGTTCTTTTCAATAAAAATGAACGTTCTATAAACTGTCGTATTCGACCATTTGTCTATTCTTTTGATTGTCGTATTCCATCAAATGTTTTTCGACATGCTGTCGTGCTACGTTCGATAATATATAAAGTCATAGCGACAAAATAAAACAAAAAGCAGTTTGCAATGTAATCTCATTCTATTTTCGCCAACATTTCTGACATTAATATTTTATATTGCTGAATTGTTAAAACACATTTAGCATTCGGTTGATTTCATGTTGTATTACATATTATTTGATCAGCTATTCAAAAATAACGAGAGAAAATATTCTTTCTTTTATTTCCTTGTATGCGCGCGCGAAATACAAAGTAGTGGAATCCATTTTAAAGGATATCCATTTTAAAAGAAATCTAAATATTACCGCTTTATCGATAATTATTAGTGCTGTCTTCAATTAAGTAGCATTGTTTGGTAAGGTAGATTTGAAAATATTGGTTTTAAATGACTTTATATGTTTAACAACACATTACATTCCTTTTAAATTATACCGAAACAATACAGTGTCTTTGAAAAATAGCAACAAAGATATAAAAAGATACAGAAAATTTGCCGCCGACCTACTGTTATAACTACAATCATTTTATAAAATTGGTTGTTTATTTTACAGGTCAGGGTGGATCAAACTGCCCACCAGTTTCGTCGCTGGAATGTTTTTGTGATCAGAACAACCCGGCAAGATGTAACCGTCAAGGGTTTCTTAGATTGACCGATGGGACATATTGTACTGGTTGCAGAGTTAACTTGCCACAGAGTGGTGAGTAGATAGTTTCTGTTATATTAAATTGCAAACAACGATTTACGTCCAATGGGAAGCTACTTCAAAAAATATCAAGGATCGGAACAAAATATATCTAGAAGAAAAACTTAAAATGACAGTGGGTCGGGTAATTAAAACACCAACATTTTTTTAATTATTTAATTATTATTATTATTATTTCTTTCTCTTCTTTTATAGTGATTTGACATTTACCCTCCACAAAAATACAAATAAAAAATAAAAGCGCAAATAGATAGCAAGGTCTCAGGGAAATAAAAAACTTTTCCTGAGCTCTGCCTCAAATCTCAAGATATACATTCCGTGCCGGTTTCTGACCAATCAAAAGTTGTGCTTTATAACATTTTCCCTGGATGATGCTAATACTATGGGAAAGGCGATATTGAAGATTTTATACATATATTTACATGCGATGGAAATCTGCTCTTATTAACGATATCAAAATAGTTTATATAAATCATTATTTATCCAATATTACAGTTCGCCAAAGTTTGTCTGCCAATGAAATCGCTCTATTTTGTTTAAATTTTGCCGAAATATTTACCATACAGTGTAAGTCATATTACATTTATACGTTAAATGAGCCGATATTGTACTCGGCCTTTCTACATTATGCACTCGATTTGAATGGGCGGGGCTAACTGTAAACAGGGAAAATAATGTTGAATACTTACTTTGGGAAGAAATAAAGGTTGTTGTAAACTACAAATGGTCGCTCTGCAGAGGCTAAACTATACCACGTGATATATTTTCCATAAGTAAATAATGAATAAAACACTTCAACGCGCAAAAAACACCTCACAGCTATTTTGACTATATTTCAGAAAATGGAAGATGCCCATCGTACCGCTGTCACAGATTACGGGAAAGACTCGGATGTGAGCTCCTACCGCAATTTGCAATCGTCGGGATGAACTTATGCCCAGCTTGCAGTGTTTTGTTCTGCCCAAACGACATGCCGTTACCAACTGTTTCTCTTAGATAAACAATGTGATGTAACAAACATGGTTACATTAAATAACAGTATTTTACAACTTTTAAGTTTCGTTTTAATGTATAATTTATAATTGTAATGAAGAAATTCAATTAAATTGCCATATTAACTTTTAAAAAGATCTCTGTGTTCTGTTATTTATGTTTTTGTTTTAAAATAACAAAACTTCAAGTGAACTTCTTTATTACACTAGTATTGTATTTGCACTGATTGATTTTGAATTGCATCCCATACAAATACTAATCGCTTATCAACTCTTTGGGTCGTTTTTACGTTTATTTTGCATTAGTTATGACATTCTCTATAGGTGTTAAACAATGATGAATTGGCAAGCAAATTTTTTAGCATTCCTGAAAAGAAAGCTAAACCTAAAGATTTATGTGTAGCTATGCAATAAAGAAGTCTTTCAAATCCAGTTTAAGAAAAATGTTACAAATAGATCCCTACAACCTTAACTACAACATACAGGATCTTTAAACAGCTCAATCACCTCCCGGTACCTCTTCATCCCTCCCTATCACCGACTTAAGCAATGAACACTCTTTCATTCTTCTTCAGAACTAATATACCGATGTAAATGATCCCGAATGATTGATGATTTAAAACACTGCGACTTTGATTCGTCGTGGAGGTCCATTTTAACCATCTCGTTGCCAAAACTTTATTTATAAAGTTACAATGCATTAAAGACATAAGTGCACTATAAATGCTTTGCTAAGATTGCAACAATTATGCACATTTTTTCATGTTTGCATGTAGTATTTACTGTTCTTTAAAAGTGGTACACAAATGGATAGATTGAAGACATAGCTGCAAAATTCTTTTTATGCCCCGCGTTTTGAATGATTCGGAGGTACATTGTATATTGTTTGTCTGTCATTTCGTCTGTCAGTAGTTATGTCTGTCTGTAAGGCATTCTGTCTCTTCCAAAACTTCAACCTTGCTCATAAAATTAAAAATGAAAAGAGAAGTTATGCCCGATTGTATTGTGAAAAGGTGTAAACACCGGCCACTATTTTGTTCATAAAAGAGATACAATGCAAACCTAGGGTTCAACTCACGTGTCGGGGCAATCCTTTTTTGACTAGTTTTCTTTACCCATTTTATTGTTGGTATATGATTAAAGGTAGGTTTCATGCGTGTGCTATTCTTATTGACAGTGAATACTGCGGTTGATTGCAAAGAGTTGTATCATAGTTTGGAGACCTGTCTGTTGAAAATGTGTTACATTTGAACATGTACAGTACTTTAACTGGAGTTAAGTAGTAGTTACCCGCACTCCAGTTTCCGGGATAAAATATAGCAAGCTGGTTGATTTGACTACTTTTCTAGGGTTTACTTATTATGACGATAGGGAAATGGACAACGTAAGAAAGTGTTATTCAGATGCTTGTTCATTAGTTAATTCCTAGGGTTTCATATTGGGACAACAGGAGACGTGTTGTTAATCTTTGCCAACGATACAAAAGAGTAAGAACATCAAAACACTCGGCTATCTGATTCATACTCGGTTGCTACGCCCCCTCGTACGAATCAGTTAACCTCGTGTTTCGATGCTCTTTATATTACTAGATTAAAACACAGATTAAGACTACTCGATGATATCAATTGGCTTATCTAACAGACATACCCACATGTTAGAGTTATTGAAATTTAATATTAAGAAAAGGATTAACAATTCAAACAACACTCTTTGTTATACATGTAGTACAGCAGGCTCCTATTTTGGATAGAAATACAAATGTACTGTTAACTACATTTAAACTTAGGGCCATGGGTTAAAGTTAAAACCCTAGATGGGTTTCTTTTTTTTTTTTTTTTTTTTTTAACATTATTTATGTATCTCTCATATCCCTTTTGGGAAGTTAAATGTATTTAATTTTAATTATTTAATTAATATATGTATTTGTTGGCTAAATAATGCTAAATCTAATAACAAATATGGTTGATATTTGCAAAGTGTAATACAATAAAAACTAGACAGTTAAAGTATTTAATACTTTACAAGATCAACCAATATAGATCTACTTTTGATAAAATTTAGGGAAACTTTGAAAGCAGGCACTCATTTTTGTAAATTTAAAGGAATTTTTATTAGGCTCTCTAAGTAGGAAAATGGTCAAACACGTGTTAAAATGGGTGGAGTAGGGTAACACTTTTATACATATTTATAAATTTCGAGTAGAAACAAGCATTTGCTTATGAGGATTGTTAGCTGAATGGTACTATTTGTTTCTTACCCTAAAACTAATGGGAACATTTTTCATAAGGATGATATTGCAGATTATTTAACTCCTGTCAACACACGCATACGATTTCAGGGTATGGGATTTTGTTTACTCAAAACATGATAACATCCCATGTACGTTCAAATGTCGCGACACATTTTCAATAGATAGGTCTCCAAAACTGTGATACAATGATTTTCTTTAGTATTTACGACATTATTTCATGTAAATGGCATGCGATGTTTAAACAATAGATAAAACATTGGTATCTGTTCGTAAAATCTGTACCTTACAAACAGTTGTATCTATTCTCTGATCATAACTATGATCTTTTAAAAACAAATATTACAGTACGCCTTCGATGAGATACAGTTGACTTATACCTATTGTAAAATGCTATGTATGTTCTGCCAATATTCTTAAGTAGGTTAACGTGAATATCTTCAATTAAATTACCAATATTAACAATAACAACATTTTATTTTGTATTGGAAGGCCACCGGCCTATAATACATTAAAAAAACCAGTTATTGACAATGTTGTTGAGAGTTGCACCAAGGCTTTTATATAGTTAAAAGCACGAGTAATTCAATTTATATCTAACAATTTATTTGTCATTTGTAGACATTTTAGTAATAAAAAAAGACATCTTTCGTATTATGCAACACATTACCCAGGTATAAATCTCTAATCACCATTGAAGATAATGAAATACTTACTTATTATGTGTACATAGATGCTTTATAATCAATGGATCATTACCTTTAGGCTTTAAAACGTTCCCTGATATATTTGTCATATGTTGCGGATCGGATACTTTTAGTAAGATTAGATCATATTAACTATGTTTGAAAACTGTACTTGAATTAGCCTAAATGATAAAGACAAGGTATGAGTTGCCACAATGATTAAATCAAACTTAAGAAATTAAAGTTTCTTATCAAATGACACTATCAAGAATTAAATTAGACATTTGTTTTTATACTTAAAACATTTTTGATTTCTTTTTTTTTCATTAGCAATACTCACGTATAGGCGTTATCCTCTACGTTGACCAGACAAGCACGTTCATTACGTGTATGTGAAACTCCAATTTTGTGTAGATCTACGGACTTTTTCATGCGAGTAGCTGACCTTTTATGCTTATATATATATATGTGTTTACACCTCTGGAGGAACCCATCGTCGGATACCCACGGCCAAACCATTAACATTTATCAGATTACATGTTATGTTACATGTTAATCAACCGTGGGTATCAGACGATGGAGGAACTTGGACAATGCTTATAAATGCTTATAAATTAGTAAATAACTGTTGACGAATAATGATTATAATAAACGATTTGCCACGTTTGGCAATTCAAACATGTAAATGATATGACTTTGAAGACAATTTTTTCACATCAATTTTATTTATATCGTTACTTCAAAAACAAACTACAAGGGAGTTTTGTCAGGTTAAATATAGGATACCGTCACATAAATAATGTGTGTTTACCTTGTTAACCGCTATTCTTCTTACGAAGATATCATGTAACTGAAGACACATTGTTTTTCTGACCCTTTCCGTGTCATTTGCAAATCTAAAATAAGATACTATTCAATCACTGTTAAAATATTTATGGTGGCACAAAGGTGACATGTTTGTGTTTTTATTTATCTCGTGGCCACGAGATACTATGTCGTGGCCACGAGTTACTTAGTCATGACCACGAGATAGCTAAGTCGTGGCCACGAGATACTATGTCGTGGCCACGAGTTACTAAATCGTAGCCACGAGATAGCTAAGTAAAAAAATTTGGCGAAGAGATACTATGTCGTGGCCACGAGTTATTAAGTCGTGGCCACGAGTAGCCCAACAAATTGTGCGCTTTAGGGCTTTTTTTATATAGACGATGGTCGCCCTTCGCAAAGACAGACATCTATGAAATATCAGATTATAAAATCGGTCTGTCTTGCCGTCGAAATATTGAGACTAGGCCACGAGTTACTAAGTCGTGGCCACGAGATATCTAAGTCGTTGCTACGAGATACTATGTCGTGGCCACGAGTTACAAAGTTGTGGCCACGAGATAGCTAAGTCATGGCCACGACATACTATGTCGTGGCCACGAGTTTCTAAGTCGTTGCCACGAGATAGCTAAGTCGTGGCCACGAGATACTATGTCGTGGCCACGAGTTACTAAGTCGTGGCCACGAGATAGCTAAGTCGTGGCCACGAGATACTATGTCGTGGCCACGAGTTACTAAGTCGTGGCCACGAGATAGCTAAGTCAACTTAGATAACTTAGTAACTCGTGGCCACGACATAGTATCTCGTGGCAACGACTTAGTATCTCGTGGCCACGACTTAGTAATTCGTGGCCACGACATAGTATGTCGTGGCCACGTGATAAATAAAAACACACATGTCACCTTTGTGCCACTGTACCTTTGTGCCACCGTACATACTTACGTGAGAATGACGAAAAAAATTATCAAAATCGTTAACAATGACTTTGTTATCACATTGTTTTTTGGGGTTCTTTTTACTTTTTTTTGTTTTTGTTTTTTTATTACTTTGCCCATTCCCCCATAATAATTAAGATAGACAATGTTTATTGCATTGTCTCCTTCATGCCATATATACTCCGTGAATTGCGATTGCAATCAAGCATCCAATTACTGATATCAGATTTGTACAAATTTAGGTCAAACAAACGCCGTGTGATTTTATCATTCTATTACCAAAAACCCCGCATATATATATATAGAGAAAAAATATTTTAACAGCCAGTAAAGTTTATACATTTCCTAAAAAGACGGATAAGATTTGACTTAAAAATTAGATCATGGTATGTAATCAAAATTTATATCAATGTGTTTTTTTTTTCTTTTTAGGTAATGAAAAATGATATGATATTGTCAATGAAATTAGAGAGGACTTCAGTGAGAATATTTATTCTCTTTTTAATTGACTTACATTTATTTCGTTTAGTGTTTTCCAGACAATGAAAATTGAATCGTTAATTTAATCTATCTTGACAAAGTTTTAAAATATTTATGTTCATCGTATATCGATAAGTTTTCTGATCAAAACACGGTCACTTTAACTACATACAAGTATCCGGATTAATCTTCCGTATAGCCTTAGGTCTGGATGTCGATCCAGAGTAATTCTTTTAGTTTATGTACATTGCCAAAATATGACTGAATAGCATGTCTTTTTAACATTTCTAAATTCTTCAAATCACGTGCGTAAAGCACGGCACAGAAAGCCTTTCATCGGCTGTATACAACTTTGTGCGTAATCATTTTGATTTCCCAACCGATTAAGTCGATTCATTTGTGCACAATGTTTCAAAATTTCACCGATCAAATCGTTAGTAAATCATAGGTATTAAAATTCACACGCAATATCGGTAACAGCCAAGGGAAGTGCTTTCTAAATTTTTATTTATTTATTTATTTATTTATTTATTTATTTATTTATTTACTTATTTAATTATCTATTTAACTATTTGTTCGTTCGTTCGTTCATTAATTTATTCATTCATTCATTGAATAATTCATATTCATTCATTCATTCATTCATTCATTCATTCATTATGCACTTAAATTGACAAAAAAATCTAATGATTTTAAGATATTTAAGATAAGCCGATTTCAAACAGTGGTATACGTACTTTCTTATTATTTACCCAAATAGCCACGAGGGTTCATATACTACATACAAACGCAGTTTTGGTACCAACGTAATAAAGGTGTCAACTAAATGTTGCTTAAATACTGAGTACTGACTTATTTTCAACTGCAACCTTAAAATACTTAAGTTGAAGTTCAAGATTATACTTAGTTACATCACTGTGTGATCAAATGATCTTACTTTGCACTATTTAAATCCTGATGAAGCAGTATTAAAATGTGTTCGTTGGTTATTTAATAATGATATAAATTAAATTGATAATTTTCGAGTATTATGCAGATACATAGGCAATCGACTATGAAAAAGTGTCTAAATTAAGGACTTAAAAAAACATTTAAGACCCAATTTTCATGAGAAAGCTATTTGTCACTCGGTAGCGAAATTTCAGACTCTAATGCTGTTAATTGCAAGTGCCGAAAGTAGTCCACTTTTTTGAAGCGGTTACTTCCCTTTATATGTAACACTTAGGCCGAAAAATTTAGGGGAGAGCACTGCGTAAATATGGTAACATGACAGGCGGATTGATTTTCAAGCAAAATAATTCCCGAATGGTCGAATATTTCTAATATTGTTTTATTCTTTATAGATATACATGCTTATAGTAAGCGCCATGATTATTTACACAGGTGTTAAACAACAGATAGCGTCGTTTCAAACCCTAACTAGAATAATATGGTTTTCTTCAGGCGATTAACATATAATTTCAACGTGGCCGAGGGGTTTGCGCGCTCGCTTAGGAAGCGAGAGGTCTGGAGTTCAAATCCCAGTTAAGGCAACTCATTTTTTTTTCAAATTGTTTAAGTCAAATAAACATTGGATCGAATATCAGTGTTGCAATTAGTCTTATAGCCATTCTACTACAATTAAAACGCTGGAAAGCATTGGTGGCACTATACAAAAACAAATTGTTTTATAATCTCACAACCTTCACCTTTCTGACATCCTGAGACCCAAACAAATTCAGCGCCTTCTGTGCTTTGATTTAATTATGTGTCCGGTATATAATGATATAAGATCAATGGCATTGAATAACATTATTATAAATGATGTATATAACAACATGAAAAACACAGAAAAATAGTATATAGAGGATATTGAATGAGTGTAGGTTTAATACTAAATTTATTGAACGAGTTGAATAAAATCATATTATGCGAGCCTCTGGCGAGCATAATATTGTTTTATTCAACGAGTTCAATAAATTTAGTATTGAATCTACACGAATACAATATTCTATTTATTACATATATAAAATAAGAACGGTAAACTGTTAACAAGAGTCATTTTTCTTTGACGCGCCTATAGTGTAACGCTAACATTAGCGCGTTTTAACGCTATATGTTTATAGTGCAAATGACGTGACGTCAAAGTGTTATTACACTAGTGTAATATCGTCTAGTGTAATATCGTTTTTATTAAATGGCTTTATTACACTCCTGCGCCGCGGTTTATGTGATAATTCTTTTTACAAATCACCAGAACAAAATAATAAAATGTCTTGTTAAAGCATATGTGTTAAGGAGAAATTTGCTGTATAATAGGTAATTGATTTTTAACGTGCCAATAGTGAAACATGGTGTTATATTGACTGTCCATTTTCTGAAATGTGATACTGTAATTTACAGATCGAGCAGCAACTTTGATCTCATTTAAATGTTCCATTTTAAAAGCTATGTATTGATCACAGTTTGTATATTTGTATATATATAATAAGGTGACTTATAGGTCCAATGGGCCGGGTGTCTTTGTATGTATGTATTCTTATCATGTATGTGAAATTGATAGATGTGCAATGTCACTTTAATAAACAATTTACTTACTTTCTAAAGGTGATAAATGTTTTATGAATTTAACCATGAAATAACTATATATGTTTTTTAGTTTAAGACTGTTGTGTGGAAATATCATGGCCTGGGCGACATCATGGAATTTTTCTCTACGCCGTTTCTACATAACAGTCGAGTTCTATATAGTATAACTGTTTTAACGCATGATAAACAGAAAAAAGTATAGGTTGTATCAATTAATTTTTGAGCGAACGAAGTGAAGCGAGAAAATTAGTTTCTATAAGCTATAATCGACTTACAGTTAGCCCCGCCCATTCAAATCGAGTGCATTATGTAAATAGGCGGAGTCAATTAAATAGGCTCATTTAACGTATAAATGTAATGCATACAGTTGAGTTACAGCACTGTATGGTAAATATTTCGGCAAAATTTAAACAAAATAGAGCGATTTCATTGGCAGACAAACTTTGACGAACTGTAAGAATTTAAATTAGACATAAGATTTCATTATATATTTTACTCCCCTTCTTAAATTAAATTCCCTACTCTAATTGGTACATGTCAGTACCCGAGTTTTGTTATTTTTCTTATTGTAAACCCTATAACGTAAGAGCCAATCAGAAATATAAAATTACTGTGAATTGTGATGACATGCCAAAATATGAATTTTTAAATTTATTTAAATTAAAACGATTATTGTTATTTTTTCGGGAACTTGAAATGGATAATCTTGCAAGTATTGCTACTCATAAAAAGATTAACCTGGCATCAAATAACATTAAGGAAAAAAGAATAAAAGGGTTATAAACAAGTGCATCCATGCCAAAGACAAAACTGTTTCTGAAATGAAAGCCATATTCCCAGTACCCCATTACATGTCCCTAATCTGAACATATTAGGGTTGTTATTTTTTTTTTTCAGCCTAAATTTTGGACAGTCAAGTGGCAACGCGCCATTTGATAAAACAAATTTCTAAAATGGTAAATGTATTCCTGAAATAACATTCTGTTCTGTCTGAAATTCACTTTATATGTTTTGGTGCTATATTGTATATTGAACCACAAATTAAATATGATCGGGATTTAATAAAATGTAGTAAATATCATCTCATTGTATCTTGTAATTCAAACAATTCAATTTATGCTTTAATGGCTCGTAACAAGTAAGTTAGAAGTAAGTAAAAGTTCCGTGATAGATACAGCTGTAAATTCGTTTCAAGCCTATTTCAAAATTTCACATTTGGATCCCATGACATGAGAACGCATTTAATTATTTGCAAATTTCAACCCTAAGATAAAAAAATAAACGATCGTCGGCTATTATAATTCACTTCAATACATTTCACCTACTCCATCTTACTTTAAAATATCACCACAATTCGGTTTTATCTATTCAATTTAATTTTTAAGACCTCAAAGTGTGTCCGTTTATCTGATGTTAGAAATTGCAAATGTATCTTTGTAACGCACTTTTGGGTAAAAATTTGACAATAAAATACTTGAGGTTTAGGTTCAGACACTAAATGCTTTGATCCAAACGTAAGGTGTTACATTGCCTGTAAGACAGAATTTATTTTTGGCTTGATTTTAAAACTGAACACGGTAAGATATCTATGCCCACGTTCAACTTGCCAGCAAGTGGTTGTGTTCAAATATGTGATATTAAAGCTTAATTAATTTAATATCCTACAAATACGGTATGGTAGATCATGTGTATTTTTTAATTGTCTTGTTTCTTTTCTTCAACTTAATAGTCATATTAGTTACCTTATCAAACAGCGGACAGAATACATAAAGATTATTATCATCATAATTTTATGTAATTTGATATAAGTGTTATTATGATTCATTTTGTAAAAATAATTGGCAGAGTCGACAAAGATTTAATAAACTTGTTTGTCGATATAAACAAACGAATCAAATAAAAATATCTGTTATCATTGAAACTGAATAGTCTGATTTTATTGACATGTCAGCTATCAATACATTTTAACATTATATTATTTGTACCGTATCCTTTAAAATAACAATGTGTTCTATATCATTTCAACATATCTTTATGAAACTATACTAAAAAATCACTGCATTCAGTAGATACATTGGACATATAGAAAAAAGGCAGATATTGTTTGATTTTATTAACCTGTCAATTACATACTGATTATACGGTCAATGCACAGAATATATTAATATTCGATAAATGTTCGGTAAATTCCGTGAGATTTACGTTATAAGATATGATTAAATTCATCCATTAGTTATACTGACCGTTATAGCGCAATAGGATAAACTACGGGTATATAATTTCTAAATGTCCTACGTGTTGTAAAGATCGAGACAGCGTATGTCCAGGCATTTTTCATCATAACTATTTTCAACATTTTTGAAGTTATAGTTGTTCTTTCTGTTTTTAATATATTTTGCACTTTTTTTGTAAATACTATACTTTTGTAAATATAACATTGTTAAAGAATTAAAATTCAAATTCATTCGGATTAATATCAATAAATGTCATTACAGTGCCGCAAAATACAATACAAAACATGAACATTCAGTGTTTCTTAGTTGTTTCATATCTGTGTAGAAAATACTGAAAGCGCTTGACCATTTTTATTATAATATACTTAAAAATAAAGAAAAACAGGTCTAAAAATAAGTGACGTCTAAAAAGAATGTCAAAAGAATGGATCGAACCTCGGACCTCTCATACATTAGGTAATTAGAATATTCAAATTCGAAAAAAAATGGATAGTATCTTTTATTTGCATCACTCTGTGCAGTCGCAGACCTTTTTGTCCTAAATTTCAAATCCTGTCATTAAAAATTTATTTCAGGATGTGAGGTTTCTTCTGGCGATCATTACGATGTCCGTTATGACATCATATTGTTCAGGTAATATTTTATGATGTTTTCATTGTAATCCAGCGTCATTATCTTCCAGATTTATGTGTAAATAAACGCAAAAAAGGAGATGAATTTGTTATTCTTATGGGATATAGCATTATGCTACCCTTGATTTTCTGTAGACTCAAGTATAGACTTTTTTATTTACGATTATTTTTTTATACTCGTTATAAATATAAAAATAAGAATAGACATATATATCAGATATAAAAATAACCAATATATATATACAGTTTATCGCAGGGTTTGGAACTTTTCCTTTGTTCTTACTAACCCATTATACTGAGCATTAGAAAACTGTATTTTTGAACAGAACAGAACAATACTTTATTGTCTCAAATCAAAAGACATATGAGATTACAGAGTAAATGCAAATTTCAAAAAACATGACATGTGGTGTATGCAAACAGTATTATAAAGTGATATTTTCAGTAAATTTAAATATTCATTTTTTATAATAAGTACATTGATGAGGGGAGTGGGGGGGGGGGGGGCTGATGCGAGAATTATTCCAAACGGTGAAGTCGTAGATTTATACAGGTGTGAAAATGGTATGAATCTTAAAACAGACTATAGAAAGTTGTAGGAGTATTGACATTCGTGTCTATTTCAGTCTTATCTGATTGGTTCAAATTTGTTGACCTTGAATTAGATCGTGCGAATCGTGACAGAGTTAAAGTGTGTCGCGCTTCTAGAAAGTATGTGTTTATTTACTAGTACAAACAAAAACAAACATGGATAAATGTGCGTACTTGTCAACAGAGAAAAGGTATTTTGCGCAAAACTAATTGTTTAACACTTTTTCTTATGATATGTATAGGATAGATCATGAGTACCAGTTGGATGTGAGATTTATCAACGAGCGAAGCGAGTTGATAAATCTCACATCCAACTGGTACGAGCGATCTATCTGACTTAGACCACAGGTAGTTTTCTCTGTTTAAGGTGAAGATTAAACATGCGTAAACGATTTTTTCTCCGACAATTACGTAGGGATATCCAAATATTTCTTACTTAATCAATTTGGCCTTATTGTAGACAAACAAGCACGAGAAAATGACATAATTCATGCTCTTTCATAAGTTACTGAATACACAATCTTATGAATGATAGATTTCACATACCATCACAAAGGTGCAGTGAGAAGAAATTTGGGAAGAATTTAACATTTCTAAATGTGATATTATTACAATTTTGTAAGTAGAGAGATTTTGTTGTTATCCTGTTGATTCTTCATTTAAATGATTAAATGACATATCACCGTACACAGCGCTTGAATATGAAGTCAAGAAGCAAAACTGCTTACCGAAAAAATACTCTTGGACAGAAATCATGGGCGATGGTAGTCCTAATTATAAGACCTATACGTAACCTATTTCATATTTATCATTCATTAATCTGATATTTTACATTTTTCATTTTCCATGTTACGTTGTTACATAAAACTATAACAAGCCTGTAACGTCTAATCTATTGGACTAGGGCGATGGCTGCTTCTCAAGGGTGGGCTCTTGGGTAAACGGACAGGTAACTTTCATTAAACATGTTCCTTAATGCTTAAACAACCCTAGGGTTCAGGATATTGATTGATTGTCCGGCTGAAGTTGAAAATATTTTACTTGACATATAGATTCGTGTTTTTGTTGTATGCTTTATATACATCCTGCATTGACTTTTTTTACCTCATTCATGAACTGAAAAAATATTTCAAACGTCCCTCTGAAGCCTTAAAGCATAGCATTGCCTTAGCGTTGCAAACGCAGTCCTGTCACCGTTCGGAAACTCCACCCCCTGCCCAACAGTGGAATCCCCTCATCCCAAACCGAAAATGAATGTACATCTACAGTGTCTGCTATTAAGAGTGAGCCGGGCATAATGCACAAGGCACAGTGCCTAAAAATATTAGCACAAAAGCGGACGTAAAATGTAGATACATATATAGATTTAAATAGATTGATAAACGCATTTCATGTTTTTTTCTTATTTACAAATACAGTTACTATTCTTGTAAAATGATGAACTGACGAAATAAATTGGTCAAAGGACTATTGCTATCTGTTATTTTTAAGAAGGGAATTTCACTATGAACTTTACTATATACATATAATTTTCCCCGCATAAAGCGTGCACATAACGGGGTTTTTCTTTCAGTTGAATACAAACATGATAGTTATATCAAACACTTTACTGTGATGTGTGGGATATATCAAACACTTTTAAACTACTCTGATTGGCCGAGAGAAAACAGCTGTGGTCTAATAATTTATTAATTTGTGTTGCGTTTTTAGACTTATGCCATGTTTAGGCAGGTAGGGAATGTGGTTGGGAACATTAATTTGATTTGCAATGTAGAATCGGGCTACTAGTATATATTGCGTTATTATACAGTTTGCATGTTATGGCATTAATAAACATTCTATATAGCATATTAAAGATGACAACAATAGTCAGCGTGAAGCAAACATGAAGTCTTAATATGAACAGATAATGGCAGTAGACAGAATTTCGAAAAATATAAATAAGCATTTTTTTTTTGCCTGACAAACATTATATTGCATGATTTGTTACAAACATTACCTCCGTATTGTTTCAAATAGTATTTTAATGAATTTACAAAGTTTTTGTAATTGCATAGGACTTGAATTCGTTAATAACATTTTAAATTTTATGATGTTTGGATTCCTATAATAATATCTGTTAATATATTTTTTTCTGTGGTCATCAAAAAAGGTACATTTCAACATATAATGGAGTTCATCTTCTATGTCATTTAAACTACAAAGAGAACATTTTCTCTCATAAATATCTGTACCTTCCCATCTGCCGATTTCTATCGGGAAAAAATGGTTTCCTGTTCTAAATTTAACCATATTTATAAAATCTCCCTTATCAAGAGTCAATAAATAATTTTCAATGCATATATTTTCTTTATATATAGAATAATTTCTCCCTTTGCTTGAATTTTGTAAAGTTTGATGCCACATTTGATAATTCTGATCTAAAAGTACCTGTTTAATATCACATTTGATCGTTTTGCTCTGAATATTTGTCTGATTTAGCCATAAGTCATTCCTACCCGTATTTGAAAGTATACTTTTAATGTAGCTGAGCCATTTAAATTCAAAATCTTGGCAATTAATCATATATTGATATATTTTGTATGCAATTTTATTTCTGTTTCCTAATATTAATCTGTTCCAGAAGCCAATCATCCTGCATTTAATTGTAATATTAATTGGGTATCTGCCAGATTCTGCATAAAGCATATACAGGGGTGTACTTGTTCTAAGATGTAAGACTTTCCTAAGGAACTCACAATGTATTCTCTCCAGGATTTTTAGATCTTCATAGCCCCAAATTTCAGATGCACATGTTAAAATTGGCAGTACAGTATGGTCAAATAATTTAAATTTATATATATATATATATATATATATATATATATATATATATATATATATATATATATATATATATATATATATATATATATATATATATATATATATATATATATATATAATGTATTGATATATAGCAGTACAGTTTTTTCATGAAAAAAAACTCAACTGCTATATGGCGGTTGAGTTTTTTTCGCACCTTGTATATATCAATGTAGTTTTTTTTCAGAGAGGCTCCTATGGGGCAGTGGTAACGAACATTCCCAGTAGCAAAAAAATGCAATCAATTCCCAGTAGCAAAAAAAATGCAATCAATAAAGCGAAATAAATAAATAAATACAATGAAAATATAAACAAAGATAATTAATGAAATGAAATTTACTCTCATTTAATCCATGTGTAATCAAAAAGTACATCCGCTGAATGAATTATTTCCGCTGAAAAAAGCCCTTTAATCTTGAATCAATATTGGTAACAGTTTACAATCCGCCTCTAACATTCGATGTCTTTTGTATATCTTTTTGCGGCAGCGAATACAACTTGAAAAAACTGCCTTATCATAAATTGTAGCTAACGATTTATTTATTTCTATTACAAAAAAGAAAACATTATATCATTGCCATAAAACAGTTATAGTATATGAAACTCGTTAGTTACGAGGATATAACACTGGGTGGGCGACATCTCGGGATGTTTCTGCAAAAAATTGTCTCGGCCTAGCGGCCTTGCCATTTTTTAGCAAAAACATCCCTAGGCTTGATGTCGCCCCAGCCAGTGTTATATCCTCGTAACTAACGAGTTTCATGTACTATAACTATTACTTATTGCATGGCATTGAGCTTTTTCTTGGTTCTTTCTAACCAATTATACTCGGTACACTTCCATTTATTATTTGAAAAATGTATTGATATATAACAGTACAGTTTTTTTTTCAGGTGAATCATATAGGAAAAACTGAATGGATATATACATGTAACAGTTGAGTTTTTTCTACGTCTGCTATATATAGGTTGATTTTTTTACGGAGGTTCGAGGGGGGCAAAAGGTCAGAGGGGGCATGGGGTGACACATTCAAAATACACAAAAAGGCGGTTTAACCGGGTAATGCTCCCCAAACAGGTTTGGAACACAGAGAAACTACTTTTTGTTGATATCTTAAAGTTTCAGAATAATGTGTCCCGGACAAAGATATCTTTGGGTTGTAACTCCAAAATTAGGCAAGTTAGAGTAACGGTTCTTTTACATTGCACATTTACCCAATGGGATCTATCTATCTACAAAGTTTCTTGTTGATATCTATTATATCTTGGACGATATCTATTATATCTTGGACAAAGATCACAGTGTAAAATGAACAAAGGGTTATAACTTCAAAATTAGGAAAGGTAGAGTTACGGTTCTTTTACATTGCACATTTACCCAATGAGATCTATCTACCTACAAAGTTTCCTGTTGATATCTTTTATAGTTTAAGAGTTATGTCCTGGAAAAAGATCACAGTGTAAAAATTGACAAAGGTCAATAACTTCAGAATAAGAAAAGGCAGAGATACGGTTCTTTTGCACCGCACTCCTACTCAATGAGATCTAACTACATACAAAGTTTCTTGTTGATACCGCTTGTGATTTCAGAGTTGATTATTATTAACTTTTGTTTGTGCAAAATCAGAACAACTTTAAACGGCGTGTGTTGGGTTTATATACCATCGCCGCTCGTATAAAACCATATGAACGGCTGCACTCCCTGACTTATTATATATAGCTAGCTGTGAGGGCCCTTAGACAGCATAAGCTGCATGGTATTGGTTCACTAAATATCTAGGGTTTCCATCTGGAACAAAAGTGAAACGGCGCAAGAGAGGGAAATGCAAATTTTTTTTTATATACTGATTTCTGTGACAAAAAAATGAAATTGTGATAAAACATTTATAGTATAAGAAACTCGTTAGTTATGTGGGTATAACAGTGGCTGGGGCGACATCTCTGGATGTTTCTGTAAAAAACGTAAACAAATCGTCTGGGCATGATGCCCTCGATATTTTTTAGGCAGAAACATCCCTCGATGTCGCCCCAGCCACTGTTATTACTTAGCAAATATGTAAGGTATATCGAATTTTTAAATGCGTAACTGTAATTTATAATATTGATTTCAACAAAACATAAAAGTCGCCTTCAAAACGGTGGTCCGGTCGATATGATTATAAAACCAATTTTTGTAATTAATTGAAATTACTATGCTTATTAATTTATATATTCACATACGAGCCGCATAATCATTACTAAAAAACAACTAGAATCACATAATACAGATATCCTTTAGTCATGCATGTTTTTATACATGTAAACAGTGTCTGTAAGTTATACCTTTTTATGTCTTACCTTTATAACAGCATTACTTACGGCGTGTGGGGATGATGCAACCTGTGCCGCTAACCAGGCTAACTCAGAATGTGATCTGGTAACAGACACGGATGGTATGGGAGATGGTGAATGTGTATGTGCAGCTGCATTCAAGGATGATGGGAGCGGTGGCTGTACCGCAAAAGGTAACAAACACATAATACATGTTTCAAATAATTTAAATGTCGTTATTGCCGGTACACTATGATTAAAAAAGTATTTAATGATTTAAAAATAAGTAGAAAGAATACGTCTTTTTTAGAACTAGTAGAAATGATACACAATAGAGTGTACTGACTCGCAGCAGTAGACTGTAAAAATCGATTTTGCTGTAGGTTAACTCATTGTAATTACCCTAGTGTTTTCAAGTAAGCACATTAAAAAGATGTATTCAAATGTGCCAAGATTTTTGAAACTAATAAATTTGGTAGCTCTACCAGTTTCTCTAAATATTAATTTTGTATTGATACAGATTTAACTACGTCTTATGTTATGTATTATTATTTATTGCTTATTAGAATCTCATCTATACATGTAAACATATAATTAAAAAACATAAACAATAAACACATAAAATACATGTATAGCCATTCTTAATTAGAATTATAGAAGACTGTTTTTACTTTTAAGGGTGACAACTATCTAGTCCATAAAACAGGAGTATTTTATGCACTGAAGATTTGTCTCCCTTAGCTACACACATTACTTACAAAACAAGATATATTTGTATTTCCCTTTTATATAAATAATGATATGAAACAGGTAAAATAACTAAAGGTATCCTTGCTAATCAAGATTAACAATGAAACTATATCATTTAAACAATATACTACAGGGGTACTATAAACACCAGGCCCCGTGTTCACAAAAAATTAAGGATCAGGATCAAGATCAGGATCAAATCTAAAAACTCAATATTCTCCATTATGTATCCTCAAAGATTAAATATTCAATATTAAATTGATAAAACTGGACTTAAAATACCATGTTAATGAAATTTTAGAATAAATTTGTTATTTTTACAAGAAATGGGCATTTTACAGTTGATCCAAATTTTGATCTTGATCCTAAAATTGATCCTCATTTTGATCCGATTAGTTTTGTATTTGTTGTGTAATTTGTTGTTTTTATCCCAAAATAGGTTGGTTTCTTTGCAAATAAACAATTATCTATATTTCAAATGTGTACCATTTAATTCTAGAATAATACGATCAGTATTAATTTTATAAAACAATAAAAATAAAATCAGGATCATCTGATCCTGATCCTGATCTTTTCTTTGTGAACACGGGGCCAGGACAATATATCACATATACAAGACAGGGTATTTTATTATTACTAATGATATAAAACAAGTTTTCTTTCATTAAGAATGTCTGTGTTAGACAAATGTATGCAACTTTATCAATATCGGTTAAATTATCAAAACTATTACAATGTCTGCTTACCGTTTGAAGTAATTCTAATCTAATTAAATCATAAAGAGGGCAATGCAAAATACATGTGTTTCATCCTTAACTATGTTCTTACAGTGGAAGCAAAGTCTACTTGTAGCCCGTTATATCTTCCTAGTCCAATACCTATTGGAGCTGTCTCACTTCTTTATTTTGCCAAGGTATCTTATAACCTGTGAAGACTGTTGAATTAAATCGTCAAAACGTGTCAAAAAGGATGAACAGCCACAAGTTTGATATTATATAATAAGATGTAATTATAGAATCTGGTATCAGCTCGACCAGCAATTCCTTTATTTTCAGTCTAATCCCAATAAATGTTATAATAAGAGCTTGTGTGAATGTTAAGCATAGTTTGGTGGTAAGCTTTTGTGAAAACTCTGTATTTGGAGTCCGTTTAGCGACATAGTCGTCATACCAAAAGAATGGGTACTTAAGGACATATTCCTTGCAATTATTATCTGACACACTAAGTGGTTATCTAGAAAAGTTGTCTTTTACCAGTTAAATAAATTTACATATAATTATCTGACTATCTAAAATACTGTCCCGTTATCTGTCCCATTGAATCTTTAGAGTTTCCCTGGTATTTTGCAGCCATGGATATATGTTCATTACTCTAAAGCCGATTTGGACTTCGTAACTTTCTTTTTTCCGACGCGCGTCAAAATGCTGTGTTCCAAATATACTGAAAATGAATGTTAATTGATTTTCTTACATAATTCATAATTTTACGGTCAACTTTACTAGAATTTCTATAAAATCACTCAGTGAGCCATTACAAATTCTTATCATTACAAAACTGCTTCTAAATATTATAATTGTTGCAAAAGATTGTGAGTATCACACCATCATCACAAAATAAGTGATTTAAACCAATATTTCTGAAAGAAGATCAAGTTATGTAAACAAACAAAAATAGATACTGCACATTCATCTGCCTTTCCAGCTGTATTGTAGGGGGAAGACTTCAGGTGCTCAGGTGCCCCCCCCCCCCCCCGGTGCATTGTTTCATGCACAAACGGAACCTGACTAGAAGCACCGACGTTCTGTAAGGTGGCTGGATAGCTTTTTCACATGAAATAAACAAGAGTCACTGACAGGGTTCGAACCCGCAGAGGTGAAGGGCAAGTGGTTTTAAGTCAATGACCTTTATATACCACTAGCCACGTTTGTCCCTTTTTTCAACATTTAAACCATTTGGAAAATTAGATTCTCGTGCTTGAACAAAGCGAATTACCATATTTCCTCCCATCCCAAGATATTTTTTTTCATTACAGGTTAAACTGATTCATCTATCGAATGACTCTTTGTACAGCTGGAATAAACGCCAATTGTAAGCTCAATTGTATAATGTACCAAAAACGTTGAACTTTTATTTTTAGTTTTGGGCGATACTTGCGCTGCTGACTCGGATTGTGGAGGAGTGACAAACGCTAATTGTAACACAAATGAATGTGTATGTGAGGGACAATACAAAGCAGATGGGGCGGCTACTTGTGTTTCTAAAGGTTTGTGTATTTTATTATCAACATTTTGCGCACTTTCATAAAAGTACAACTTTTCGTCAATTTCTGTTTATCAGATAAACAGATATTTTTCATATCGCATGCAGAACTGTAAAAAAATGTTACATGAATTAATATAAAAAAACAGACTGAAGGATGCAAATGAACCTTTATTCATATCTCAGAAAATTGAAGTAATCAATTCATTTTAGACATTTTTATGCATCCACTATTTACTAAAGCCCCAGTCACATTAGAGCTTACGACCAGTGAAGACCAGTTCACGATCACCAGTGACCTCTGGTCGCGGACAATCTTTAAAACGTCTTACGACGATCATTGATGATCTTTGACAGTCGCAGGTCATCTTATTTAGGTCCCACGACCAATTTCAGTCGTAGAGAGGTTTTTGAGCTTGCACAAAAACCTCCTTGCGATCAAACAGGTCGCTAGTGATCTTATAAGGTCTTAAGGCTGTCGCACGATGGTCGTTCGGAAGTGCGACACTCTTACGACAGTCTTTACAAATTGCCACTAGTCACTGATATTCTTAAGTAGTTTTTAGTAATCGTGTGATGATCGTACGACAAGTTGAAGATGATCGCATGTTATATCACGGGTAGTCGTAAGTAATCCCAGGCAATCTTGAGAACATCGTACGTTTACTTATGACCTGTCGTGCGATTGTCAATGATGACTTGTCTTACGATACTCGCAAAAGTAAATTTATCTGTGCAAAAATGGTTTCGGTCGCAGACAATCACTGATGATCGTCAGTTTTACAAGTCGCCGGTGGTTGCAAGAAATCGTAAGCTCTAGTGTGACTGGGGTTAAACATAACCCGGACGTACAGCTGGATATGTGATTGGAATTGGGATTTTATGTTTATTCAGTATTGTTTGCCTTGCTTCCAAATTACAAAAGAAACTAAATAAACCATAATAATAATCACGTAATATACTACACATATACGCAAAACATTGTGTCGCGCTTTAGGGCATTTTTTTATTTCTGTAAAAAATAGTTCATATTTCATTTCACTTACCCCATCCCAAGAATTGTTATCATTAAAGGTTAAACTGATTCATCTTGTGCTGACTCATTATGCAGTGTAACACCGCAAAACGTCCGTACCGCAAAACGCACGTTTATGTACGTTTTGCGGCGCATATCGTCCACATTTTTCTGACGTACATTTTGCGACAAAAAGGCATGGTCCTGCTGCATAACGTCCATATTTTAAAGTTTATATTATTTTCGTTAATTTTGACCAGTTATTATCAGGTGTTATTGTGTGATAATTTTAGCTCACCTGAGTATGCGCCTGTCTGTCTGTCCGTCCAAATTTAGCTTGTTACCACTCTAGCATCCACATACCCTAAGCAATATGTCCAGAGATATTTGCCCTTGAATTACAATACATGTTATATTTCACATTATTACCACTCCAACGCTTTCATTTCTTCTTCAATCTTGACAATTTTCAAAAGAATATCTATGACCATAAAATCTCAACATAGTTAGATAATAGGCTAAATCTAAAAAAAAAAAAATAAAAAAAAAAAAAAAAAAAACCAAAAAAAAAAACGCACTATATTTCACCTTGTTAGTGCTTTCGTTTCTTTTCCACTTTCAATTTTTTTATACAGAATATTTTTAACAATAAGATCTCGATCAAGGTCATTTATAAGCTAAAACGACTGAATACGTCAGGAGTTATTTGCCTTTGAATAATAAAAATAAAGACAAATATTTTAAAGTCAAATTATTGAATTGTGATAAAACTGCCATTTCTTTATCAATGATCAGATGTCATTCATACATTTATGACAGGACGGCATTTTGAATAGTTCAACTATAATATTGACCTTGAAATGACCTTGACCTCAATGTCACTATTGAATTTTGCTTAAATTACCATATCATTGTCATTTACAGATATTTGGATATTGATGACCATTTCAGACTAGAATTGAGTACTGATATCAGTTACCCCCCAGATTTCTGACCAAGTACACGAAATGTACTTGCTTTTTATTTGTAATATTCAATGCTATCTACCCTTGCCATGTGGAGCCTTTATAGGCAGGTGGGCGATATAAGGCCACCATGACCTTTTTGCTTTGTTCAATTAAAAATTACATCATGATGGTTCAATTATAAAATTACATAATGGCATTCAAACAAAACGCTTACATTACGTTATTTTAAAATATGCTTTAGTTTTTATCAAGAGAATACATTGAACTTCTTTTTCATCATTTCCTATGCGGAAGAATGTTTGTTATAATATACTCTATTACACATTATCTATGTAACTTATAGGCAAAATGTTTTGTTCTTTAGGCGTTTAAATAATACGGTTTTGGTAAAGGGACAGACTTTCCGACTAACCTATAGATTAAATCATTTTTCAAAGTTATTGCGCTTCTTTTGAAGTATTTTGATGAAACAAAACACAAAATCAAACAGTTAAGATACCAAAGACAATGATTATGTATAAATGTGCGTTTATCCGGGCAAAAATCTGATAGGTTTGGGTTGTGTCATATTTGGTCTTATTTCCTTTAAAAATCCTAACATATGAATTGGCGGCTATATACCCACAATCCGACAAAAGCTCTCGCGCACGCTCAAGTATGACAATGCGACTAAAAGCCACAACCCTACAAAGCTCTCTTGCTCAAATACTAAACGACTAAAGCCCCACCCGACAATAGCTCTGTCGCTCAAATATGACTAGGCGACTAAAAGCCCGCAATCCAACAAAAGATCTCCCCCTCAAATATGACTAGGCGGATAAAGCCTTTACACCCCCGGACAAAAGCACTCTTGCTCAAATATGACTAGGCGGCTAAAAGTCTGCGACCCGATAAATGCACTCTTGCTCAAATATGACTAGGCGACGTACGTTTTGCGGTACGGACGTTTTGCGGTGTTACAGTGAAGCCGCGATAAACGCTAATTGTGATATTTATTGTATAATGTATAAAACAGGTTGCACTTTTATTTTCAGCCCTGGGTGATTCTTGCACTGATGATTCGCATTGTGGAGGAGTGACAAACGCTAATTGTAACACAAATTGTGTATGTGAGGGACAATACAAAGAAGATGGGGCTAATTGTGTTTCTAAAGGTAGTGTATTTTATTATCAACATTTTTCAGCACTTTCATAAACTTTTCGTCAAAAAGTCAATTTCTGTTTATCAGATAATTACTTACTTACTGTCCATTACGCCCTTTGGCGTTTCAACTTTGTTCTTGTAGTGTATTTGCTAGATTTCCCGACTCTATTAAAGTTACTAAACACAGCTCTTGCCTTTGCTAGTCTTTTATTTATATCAATATATGCGTCTCCATCAGTTTTGACAGTACTAACCAAGTATGTAAATGTTTCACAGATTTTTAGATTTCTTCGTTCAATTACACTGATGTATTGCTGTTGTTGTTAAGGACCATAACTTTTGTCTTTTTATGTTGATTTTTAATCCATTGCCTAAAGAATTTTTGTACGTGTGATGTTTTTACTCGAGATGTTGTTAAGTATGTGATTATAGAGCTATATATTCGGGAAAGTCAAGAGTGTTGATGACAGTACACATCCTTGTCTTACGCCTTTTTTTAATGGAAAGTAGAGCTAAGTGTTTCTTACAGAACATTCAAAATTCTCATAAAAAGCTTGATAAAGTTTGATAAGGTGAGCTTGAATTCCATATGATTGTAAGATTTTCCATATGCTGTTTCTATGGAGGCTGTCAACGGCTTTTTCAAAGTCTACAAAGTTGCTGTGTAGTTGCCTTTGCCATTCATTACATTCCTCTATAATATTCCTTAGAACGAAAATCTGGTCAAAACACCCCTTTCCTTTTCAAAATCCTGCTTGTTCATTGCTCAGTTTACTGTCTATGGCATTTAATATTTTGCTGATGATTATCTTTGCTAATATCTTACTAGGTATAGATAGTAGGGTAGTACCTCTGCAGTTGTTGCAATTACTGAGGTCACCTTTCTTTGGTATCTTTATGATTTTTCCTTTGACCCAATCAGTTGGATTTTTTTATTGTCTCCATTTGTCACATCATAGGGGTTAGAGTATATTAGCTGTAATGAATGAGTTTGCTTTAAATAATTTGGCATTTAAGTTTTCAATACCTGGAGCTTTTCCGTTATTAAGGTCTTTGATTGAGGTAATGACTTCATCAGATTCTGGTGGATCAGTGCTGATATCTAACTCAATTTCAGGATCTTCTATTGTTTGTTCCTTTTCTGGTGGTGGCCTATTTAATATCTCTTTGAAATGCTCAGTCGATCTTTTCTCTTGGTGTTTCTCAGAAGTCAAAATAATGCCATCTGTATCTTTGATTGTTACATTTGATGATGAATTTAATTCACCAAATATATGTCCTGTTATCGTATACAGATTTGCCTGCTGCATTTGTCCTGCTGCTTCCTCTGCATTTTCAGCCAAATTATCCATATATTTTCTTTTATCTTTTCTGATAAGTTTTCTAAGATGTATTCTGTTATAGTCCTGTTGGTACCTTTCTCTTAAGGTCCGATTTTACTTTCGTTGTTTACTTTCCTTTTAGCCAATCTTCTGTTTTCAATTTCTGTCCATGTTTCCTGAGTTATCCAATCTTTTTTCTTTACCCTATCTTTGTAACCAATACTACGAAAGCCTAATAGTGTCAAATAAAATAAAAAAATTAAAATGCAAAGGCGTTATAACGCGAATAAAGGCGTTATTACGCGAATCAAAAGGCGTAATTATTTTTAAACAGCCTGACATTGTCGGAATAGTCACCAAAAATAAAACTGAGGTACCACATGGGGAAAATCTTAAAAAGTAGTTTTGTCATTGAAAAGTGTGAAATTATATTTTGATAATTTTCACTGTGAAATTATCAAATCTAATTTTCATGGATAAATCAGTAATCCACTGAAAAGCATAAAATAAAGGCGTTATAACGCGAATCAAAAGGCGTAATTACGCGAAAAAAGGCGTTATAACGTGAATCAAAAGGCGTAATAACGCAAATAAAGGCGTTATAACGCGAATCAAAGGCGTAGTAACGCCGTTATTCGCGTTATAACGCAAATCAACGCGAATCAAAGGCGTAATAACGCGAATAAAAGCGTTATAACGCGAATCAAAAGGCGTAGTAACGCCATATTCGCGTTATAACGCGAATAAAAAGGCGTTATAACGCGAATAAAGGCGTTATAACGCGAATCAAGAGGCGTAATAACGCGAATAAAGGCGTAATAACGAAAATCAAAAGGCGTAGTAACGCGAATAAAGGCGTAGTAACGCGAACCAAAAGGCGTAATAACGCAAATTAAAACGCATTATAATGCCAGTTTAATACCATATTTATTCTAATCTAATTGCCTAGTAACGCGGGAAAGGAAGACCAATATTGATCTGAATTTATTGCTCAAGATATAAACTCGTATAGAATAATACAATATACATTTCGTCGCCTTATTCTAAAAATGTCCTAACTCCATTTTTACCAAAAATGAGATAACTGCACATTTAGTTTAGTATTAGTTTGTTCTATCTCCAAAACAAAACAATTCATGTAAAGATTTACGCCATACTTTTGTAGATATAGCGTCTGTATTTTGTTCTATGTCCAATGGAAAGCTTTGCTGTTAGCCTTTTTTCGTCGTATCTCCAACACATGTAACACTTTTAGGCTAATCTTTCGTGCCAGCCAATCAAGTTAAAAAATATATGTCATGTGACCTGAAGGGGCCTGACAATATAATTGTTCTAACTCCAGTGATAACAACAACAATCGTATCTAAATCAGCCAGTTAACTAGGAAAGTAACAGTTAAAAAATGATTTCTGAAGAATGTAAGTAATATATTTTAGCTTTTATACGTTTGATAAGTGAATTTATATTTTGCATTAGTATTTGTTTCATCGTATTATGATTCTTTTATATATATTTCTCAAATTTTGACAATCACATAATTTCGGATAACCATATTCGGATATTCGTATGAACTATTTGGAATTATTTGGAGTATCGAACATTGTTGTTGTTTAAATGTTAATGCTATTATTTTGTCCATTTCAGGTCAGACTTACTTATATTATCAGACGTTGTCCTAACAGAAATGTTGTCCCTTAGAACTTGTGACTGCAGTTAGCAGAACTTCCACAAAACTATGGAATTTTATAACAACAACATCAAGTCTGTGGGGAAATTTTGACTTGCCATCAGTTTCAGATAAATCATTGTTTCAAGTCTTAAAATATTCACAAAAGATTTAGATATTTAACATTCCAATAGGATCGGAATACCATTGTCTTGTCCAAACATAGATTTTAAGTTTGCATGCGAGTTTCAGTGTTCTCCGGGTCATCAATGATTATATTTATTAGATAATAGCAGAATTCTTAAAGCACAATACGGCATGATCTAAAATGTTGCCGGCTCGGTTTGATTTAGCCTGTTCATGGACGATATTATTAGAATGTCCAGTATCTATGTGTGCGACAAACACCAAAATGGGAGATCGCAAAATTCACTGGATGTAAAATCTTGAAAACGACGATTTTGCAATCTTGAAAGATTGTTAAGAACTTGAGCAGATATTTTTTCATACGCTGATATTAAACCACAAACAATACTTGAGACTTTGAGAGGCGGTATAAATGCATGTGGTATTGACTTTAATTGTGCGAATTAAAAAAAAGTGTTCTTGTTAATATAATTTTGATATGTATTCATTTAATCACAATATTAGAGATGGTTACAATGATTTCATTTTTCATAATGGTACAAAATATGTCAGTTTGTTTTAGCAAGTTCATTGATTAAAAATTTTGTGAAATGTTTGTTTTTCTTTTTTTATGACACACTTTTATATTGTCATTGTCGAGAAAGGCCCAAGTTGGAGATCACGTGAATGAATTTACACTTTGACGTAGTAATTTACAAAGATAAAGTGATTCAGTGTCAGTGGTTCAACCACTCTGGCTGTAAATGTTCTTTAGAATATAAAAATCTACTATTATTCTATAGTAAAATTATTACTTTTAAAAAGTTCTAACTCAAAAAGTATTTACAATTTTAGCCTTACTTTGTCATATCTCCGGAAACTCATTTTTAGAGTAATTTTTTTATCTAAAAATAAACATTTTTGGTCTATCTCCAAATATTTTTTTTAATTTTTTCAATTACTGCAAATAATAAAGGTATATAACAAAGTGCTTTCATCACATGTTGACATAAATAATACCAATCCAGAAGTCCACACTGTTAGAAGTTATTAAATAAAAGTTACAAAGACTTGAACCTTTAACCCCTTTTTCCCAAAAAAGAGGAAATTGTAGATACACCATTTTTAGAATAGGGCGACGATTTACAATAACTATCATTCCATTTCCACTGTGACAGTAATTATGCAAACTATTTGTCATAAACTACTGAAGACTCTTTAATATTTGCCAATATAAGATGACTTGGTGACTTATAGGTCCATTGGACTGGACTTAAATAAAGTTACTCTGAATTCACATGTATCACATCATTGATTTTAAACACGTATATCACTATAGTAAATGAATTTCTTTTTTTATCTTTTATATCTTATCTTATCTTATCTTATATGTGCGTCATATGTTCAATTATCTACGGATATGTCCTGTATAATTACTTAATAACCTGTAGTATCTTCTAGTTATGTGAATGTCGTTCCAAATTACGCCATAGGTAATAGGCTATAGGTAAAAAGATTTTGAAAAAATGTAAGGTATAAGTAAATCACATTAGGGTGAAAGTATATCTTAATTATTGTAATTATTGATAGGTATGCTAAGAAGATTGATAGTGTTTCTGTTAAGTTACAATTATAGGAGACATTGTCTTCTTTGTCCTTGTAGAAAAGTATCTAAAGTTGGGTGATAGTAACCTCTAATCCGACAAAAGCAATTCCTAATAAAATTACGCCTTTTGTTTCGCGTTATAACGCAAATAAAGGCGTAAAACACGAATTGAAAGGCGTTATAACGCGAATTTAAAGGCGTAATAACGCGAATAAAGGCGTTATTACGCGAATTGAAAGGCGTAATAACGCGAATAAAGGCGTTATAACGCGAATTGAAAGGCGTAATAACGCCTTTATTCGCGTAATAACGCGAAACAATAAGAGATTAATACACGGCAGAGTAG